TAAATAAGTCGTCGAACTCGCGGTATTCGTCTAGAATCCGTGGTTTATCGCTAGTTACGTATAGCTTCTTATACTTAATAATCATATACTATAATAACTCGTTATTAGTTATATCCGGAGACTATTCTATAGTATCTAGGGCAATTGTCTTAGTTTGCCTATTGACCACACCTCGGGGTCCCTATAGGCCCTTCTTAGTCTTACTATATTTCTGCTAAGCGCTTAGGGTACCGGCTACCTTCTCGCCTAGTCCCTTACGACGAGTTTCGAACTCTTCGTATTCTTTTTTATATATATATCGGTTAAATATAATTCTTTCTATTTACTAATTAATGCTTAGGTTGTGCTTCCGTAGCCATAGAATACCTAATACGATATCGTAGGTTCCTATTTCTAGGATATTGAACTTGATTAATTCCGGATATCCGTAGATAGACATAGGTAGTGTGCTACTAGTGTGTTAGATACCTTAAGCGAGCCCTACTCTATCGAGTCTAATAACTAGTATTAGCTATGCTAATAGTACCACGGGTACTTCGTGATCTATTACGAATCGTGGATTTATAAAATTGTTAGTTACTCCTAAATCGATAAGCGTCTAGGCCTTCCCTATAGGAAGTATCACGTGTAGTTTGATATAGAAACTAGTAGTTACTACTAGCTATTCGATCTTTCGATTTTCGTGATCGTAGATCTATCGCCCGTTGTACCAAACTCCTTAGTACTTAGTTTTCTATTTTGGCTTCTTTATCCACCTTAGTGGTCTAGGTTCAATGCCGTAGTCTAATTTGCCTAGCCTATAGACTACGTATATTTCGTCGTAGCATATAAGGCTAGCTATTTTGCTATATCTAGGGTGTCGTGTATATCCTTTGCACGCGTAATCGGAGTTTTCATAAGGGCATTCTACTAGTTAGTCTTCTTCGATCGCTACGAGGAGACGCTGATCTAGTTAGTCGGCCCGAATCTCGTCTATAAGATTGGCTATAAGCTCGTCGGCTTCTTCGTTATTTTCCGTATAACGGTATTCGTTCTAAGGACTTTCGGTAGGTATTTCCGGAATCTCGTGTTCCGTTCCTAGGAGCTCTTATCCCCTTCCTAGGAGTGTGGATCCGGATCCTAGGTTATAGGTGATTCCTAGGAACTTATTGGGTGTTCCGGGAAGCCCTATGCCCTACCCCTAGGCACTCTAGACCGTTCCTAGGAAGGTATTGTTTCGTTCCTAGGACACGTGTTATATCTACCCTTAACTTTCGACGGTGTTAAGGTCGATTTCGGGGAACTATATCTCTTCTCCTAGGGGCTTCTCGTCTACCCCCTAGGTTTCTAAGAGACGTTCCTAGAGTTTCGTACTCTAATCCTAGTCGTTTTGGGATTCCTAGGTCGTATGTAGTTCCTCGCGTGTCGCCCGTAACTATGGTTGTTTATCGTACGACTTTTTCTGCTTACACTCTCTCGCGCGGTGTCCTAGTTTCCCGTAGGTGAAATAGAGGTTCTTCTTCTTCCGCTCGTCTTATTCTTTATGAGTGGCGTCTAACTCTATTGGCCTAGGGCTATATAGGTCGCTATCTTAGTTCGATCGCGGGTGTTCTCGTCGACCTAAGTTATATCGGTTGAATCCGTGGGATTTGCCCTTCTTCTACTAGTCTATTTCTTATTATTCGCGTTATCGTTCGCTGATACGATTGTCGATTTTAACGGCGATCTTAATAAGTTAGTCTAGGGTATCGGGCCTATCTATCCGAGCTAGTTCGTCCTTGACTTCGGATTTTAGCCTAGCTTCGAAGTATAGGATATATGCTTGGTCGGGTAGATCTAGGTACGAGATAATTTGCTAGAACTCTAAGGTATATACTAAAGCGGAGTGATACTGTCGGATTCGCTGTAGCTTGCGTTTAGCTGTTCTAGCGGCGTCGATATCGCTAAAGGTACGTTCGAGATGTTCTCAGAAATTGTGGTAGTCGTTAAAGACGTCTATGGTGGTTATAGACTATGACTAAGGTGGTTTTCCGTAATAATCTCGAATGTGAGGTTCAAACTAGTCCTACGCTTAACCTCGTAAGTAGGTTAACACAAAAATCACCTTACTTACTTTGGTCGGAAGCTTGGCCTTATTTATATCGATATATATATCTATCTAAGTGAGGAATCCTCAAAGCTTAGTTCGATTTCCTTTAAAACACTTAGCCTTAGGTAGTCGAGGCCCTTAGATTGCACTAGTAGGTGCGGAAGCGATAACTTAAGCGTGAAGCTGCTTAAGGTAATCCTTTACACTATTGCTATGCTAATTGTAGTTGCCTCCGAGTAACTCTAAATTGTTTTTGAGCTCGCGCATAACGCGCTATAGCTCCTAAATGCGGTTGTCTCTCTTATTATCGGAATCGGGGTCAGCGGGCTTAACCGCTAGCTTCTTTCTGGCGCTAACTTAAGATATATTTGCTTGTGACTCGAACTTGATTCGAGACGGTGTTTAATGTGTTACGCACGACTATCGGGTCGTCGCTATATTAGAAGATTCCTAGGTTATACTTGCCTAATGCTTCTCTATTTCTAACGTTAACGATCTGTCTCTTAACTATACCGTTGCCTAGTAGGCCTTATACGGGCTAAGTCCTTTTAAGGGTATTAAGGAGCGATGCCAGATAATGCGCCGAACTAACCAATACCGGAGTAGAGGTCTATTCGTAGTGTTATCAAGTTATAATCAAGTTGTACGAGTCACCAAAGGTTCTGAACAGTAGACATAAGTAACAATATATGATTGAACACGAAGAACTAAACTAAGTATATAAGGGAGTGTCCTTATATATCCTTCGTTCGGCTACTCCTTTATCTACTCCTTAGGGTAGCTAATAGGAGTAGCTGGCCTTATCCTCTTTGTCTACTCCTTTATCTACTCCCTCGGAGTAGCTTCGGGAGTAGCTCTTTGTTTGGGTCACGTGGTGGTGATCTCATTAGTATATAGAGTATACAATGAGGTAGTGAGCGGGGGGCCAAAAGTGGCTTGTTATGCGCAGACCCTATCCACCATATATAGTCATATATGTATAGGATAAGGTCTACCGGGTAGGTCCGCTTAGGGTAAATCATGCTCATGCTCACTAAGCATGATCACGTTTCTCTTTTCCTTGGATACTCGGGGTGTCTAGAGTATAGGGTACTGCACGTGACCTAATGACAGATAGATCGGTTGGCTCTCGGTGGCCCATCAGTAAGTTGCTGTCCCACATTGATTGGTGACTAGCATGTCCGTAACACTAGGAAGCAAGTAGTATATTAGAGGAATATAGAGACTGATTCTTAGAGAACCTCTAGGTTCTCCTATACTAGACTATTTAATATAGAGGATTAGCGTTATGGTGAGCTAACGCTGACGTGTTACTGGCGATCCTTGAGGGGTACGAGAGATCCGTGCAAGAGACCTATACATGATTCCTAAGGGCTCCGTTACAATATATCTCTACAATATAAGTCTAAACTTTTACTACTAGGAAATAAGCTTTCCTAGCATCCTAATTAAATATCTACTACTAGTTATATAGCATAGACCGTAATATACCAGTATACTACCTTTTACTAGAAATCTAAAGTTTAACCGCTAATAACTCGCTTACTAATAGAGCCACCGGTTTATAAATAGGATATTTGAAATCAGCTGACTTTTCTCTATCGAATAAAGCCCTTACTAAATTCGTAGTATATAGAACTAGCTAGTTAAGGCGCCCGACGTACTGGCTGCACCCTTCTATTCATGTGGCCGCCGTTTACCTAGCCGTCGAGAGTAAAATACGGGGTGTAAGATACGAATACGGGGTAATCTATTTAGTAAGGGCTGCCATAGATAAGGGTGGGTATCTGATTACGGTAATAAATCCCGTCGGTCGCAACGCATATAAACCTTTCACCTATTTTTGATCATCCACCACACCACCATTATTAGTCTAGTCGTTGTCAAACTTTCACAATTCCTAGATATTATAGTTAAATAGACCGTGTCTAATTTATAGACCGATCAGAGCAATACGTAGCCCGTGGTCGTAGAGTAAACGTCGGACCTTTGGTCCTGCAACCACCCCCTTCACCAATATTTGATCATCCACCACACCACTATTATTAGTTCGATCGTGCTAAGACTTTCACAATGCCTAGATTTAATAGTAAAATAGACCGTGTCCAATTTATAAGTTAATCGGAGTAATACGTAGCCCGTGGTCGTAGAGTCTGCGTCGAACCTTTACTACTACAACCACCAAAAAAGGTACAAAATCCTGTACCCTAACAAAACATCTCCGATTTTCAATCGCCAATTTCTCAGTAACTAGTAGGCTGCGCATGCTCCGAAGTGAATCGGGGATAAATTGGATGGTCTATTATAACTGACCAAAATTTGAGAGCGATCGGAGGTCATTAAACCTCTCCAGTCTGACGAGGAAATTAAATCCCAGTCTGACGGGACCCACTTTTTATGTCCCATAGTGAAGCGGGAACCCTAATTCCCAGTCTGCCAGACTGGGGCACCCCCCGTGGGATAGGGATCCTCTGTTTCAGGGTGAACTCTTGAATTTCATTTGGCTTCGCAGCTTTTCGCTTCTTGAATTCCGGTGTGTTCCAGGCTATTGAACATCGGATGTTTATAGTGATTCTCGAAATTGGCTTGACCAGAACACATTGAGACTCTCTTTCTCGGTACCACTGCCAAGACTTTAGCTTAGACCATTCATTGAACAGCCTGTATCAAAAGAGGTAGTCAGTAAAATACGCCTTGTATGTTACAGCATCTAGCCACATAAGATTACAAGAACCGCACGAAGAGTCCGCGGAATTTGTTGGCTGTTTCCCGTTAGCTTAAAGCTGGAACCCCGCACCGGATTCCCCCACTCTCACTATTTACCTAGCCAGTGCTTGTCTTTTACCTTTGACAGAGCTCATTTGGATTCCAGCAAGTTTGCCCGTTTGAAGGACAGTTGTATCCCAGCAACAACCTTATCAACCATTACGACATGCTTTCTAACCGTGGGGAAACGTATGCCGAGGCCGGGTTGGCTAACGCTTACCTCGGCCACCTAAAAACCCCCTTCGATAAGGAGAACAAAGAAGGCGTTGTGTCTTTCAGCAATGCAGAAAATGTAAAGCAGTAATGCAAACTTCCTCTTTGCGAGACTAGATATGGACGCGCCTTTACTAATTGAAGGGATGCTAGTTCCTGATGCAAGACGTGATGCTGGAATATATTCGCATACAGGTGGGACATGGACTACCAATCTGTCCTCCAACTTCCCACCTTTTTTTTGCAGAAGTGAACTAATACAAATGTTGAAAAAGATAGCATCAGGTCTTGACCGTACAAGTCTTACATACCATGAAGGCCCCTTTGGCTCCAGACGTCTCCGAGAAGCCATGGCTGAGCTGATTACTAGCTACTTTTACCCTGCTTCGCCGATCACATCTGACAACATCCTTTTCACGAGCGGCGTAACCAGCCTAAACGCAGTCTGTGCTCTCTGTCTGACCGATCCTAAAGACGGGATTTTGCTCGGTCAGCCTATCTACGGCTCCTTTAACGGAGATTTCTCCGTTCCCTCCAGCTGCCAACTAATCTATGCTTCCTTCCAAGGGGACGATCCATTCGGTCCAAGTGCTATGATTCGGTATGAGGAAGCCGTTTTAAAAGCACGAGATGAGAATGGGGTGTCAGTCCGGGCTCTCCTAATCTGCAACCCTCATAACCCGCTTGGTCGATGCTACCCGCGGGAGACTCTAGTGGCGCTCCTGCAGTTCTGTCAAAAGTATCAGATCCACCTTATCAGCGATGAGGTTTACGCGTTGTCGGTTTACGAAGAGGATAATTCCACGGATGGCTTTGTTTCTGTTTTATCAATCGAGCCCGCCAACATTGGGGTGAATCCTGCGTTGATTCATGTGCTGTACGGGATGTCGAAGGATTTCGCCGCTGCGGGTTTACGACTGGGATGTTTGATCAGCCAGAACCAGAGGTTCTTGCAGGCGGCATTATCAACAAGGTAAGGGGGATTGATTCTTTAGCCATCCATTATCTTGACACAGCAAGTAACGGCGCGGTAATGCGGATAACTCGTCTAGTCGGTTCCATTGGCCTTCGAATATATCGTGTAGCATTGCTACAATCATTCTCGAGGATCACTATTTCATAAAGACCTTTCTCAAGCAAAGCCACCGGTCACTTCGTTCGCATCGAGATTTTGCGGCACAAGTCTTAATGGGGGCGGAAATACCTTTTGCTCCAGGAGGGTAAGTCTCCCCTTCGTATCGACTCGTGAAATGTGGAATTCAAACTGTGCAAAACCAACGATTATTATTCCTGCAGTATTGCGGGGTTTTTCCTGTGGATTGACCTTTCTAAGTGCTTGGATCCTACACTCATCGCTGATCAAGGCGGCTGGGCCGCAGAGTCGGATCTATCCAACCGGTTACTACAGATTGGGGTAAAGATGGCGTCAGGTTATGCCTATCATAATGAGGTTCCAGGCTGGTTCCGCATCATATTTTCGGTAGAAATGGAAACCCTGAAGGAGGGTTTGTCAAGGTATGTTCCGGTTTATGGCGTGCTCGTAAATTGAGTGGCTAGGTATTGAAGTGCGTCTTCGCAGGATCGTCAAGTTCTATCTCAGCTCGGGTGGATCATCTTAGAACATTGTTAATGATATCTCGCTAGCAATTGGTGGTTTGAATAAAGGATCTATACGGAGAAATCGCGTTTTCTAGTTGGAAACACAGCCCTTTCTTTCTATGATCGAGATAATGCTATTGACCTCCCTTCACGATCGGCCCGTCAAACCACCCGATGTCCCAGGTCTCTGTATCCTCCTTCCAAGAAAATCATTTAATACTGTTGGCCCATAAGATGCTAGCACAAATTCTGTCTCGCAGTTATATTATGATAAACCAGGGGCACTCAGTTTCCTATACCTTGTTTACATTCTCCTTGGGGACTATGGAAGGATTTACAATGCATAATATGCCATCTAACTCTCCCCAATACACTTTCTATATCCTACTTCTTCTAGAGGCCTTCCCTCTCTTGATATAGGCTTTGAACGAATATTAACCAACCTCTCGATGTGTAACGCGTGATAGTCTAGGTCTGCACGAACATCAATTTTAGTAACAGCGGTGCTGCAGCCTAGGTGATTGTCAGTAAGACCAGTAACTCTCCTTTTAAGTAGCATTACTGTTCTATTAGAGCCACGTTGGTCAAGCGCCATGCTATGTGTAACGCCGTCATCATCTCCGCTAAGAAGAGAACTAGACATCATTTTCCTGGACCTACCGTAGCAACAGACTAAGGTTAAGTGATCGTTAGTTGAGGTCTACACCGAAGGAGCCGTTAACGGTGTTTTTCGCCTGCAAACAAGAGACGACCAGCTAAGGCAGTTGTTACAGTGTATAGTTCAATAAGAAAATAAGTCTCGGTTTCTTGCCAGCAAGAAAAACACTCCCTAATTAAATAGCTGTGTTCTCTGTAGAAGACCAATCAATATCCGTCCTATCAAATCTTAGGGAGAGGCTTCTCTGCCGCGTGGCCAATACGGTAACAGAGGTGTCATCCGATCCGAGATCTCGCTGTAGGTATTTTCGAATAAGTAGCTCCTTTAGCTTCGGCTGCAGAAAGAGTCGCCAGTGAAATCGAGGGGCTAGACCTAGATCTTGTTCTGTATCTTTCACCACCATTCTGTTATTGAGAGTGGCATTCTAGTCAATTAGGGAGTGAATATAGGTTGGTGAATCCTCATCATAGGTCCGACCTTACTCCTAATCGCCGAATTGGAGTAAGGGAAGGCTATTCGTTTACACAGCAGTTCGTTGCTGAGAGGCGTGATAGATGGGGGAGGCAGGGTCGATGTTCGTACAGCTTATAGCTGGAGGAGAGGCAGGAGAACGATCGAAGTTGCCAGGTATTGGTGCATATTGCCATGTATCCTTGCATAGGTCAAACGGTTCACTTTGTTGAATGTCGTAATCATCAAAGCGAATGGACGGGGCTGGACCTTATTTTCATGGGCTAACTGTAGCGACAGACTTATGGTTAGTGATTATTAGTTGAGGCGTACGCCATCGGCTGCCGAAATTTCAACGGATGATCCTAAAGCCAAAGAGACACCTCTCAGGAGTGACGACCGACAAAGGAACATGCCAGGTATTCTAAGAGGAAAGTCGGAGAGGAGAGGAAGGGGCGGGCACGCCTAGTCGGCTCTTTTTGACTATCAGAGATCCACTCTGGGGTTCCATGGAAATCGACGGGATTCTCATGAGATCAATGTATTATTACCTCGCTAGGTACCGTATCAAACCGGGCGCAATTTACGGCCTGCTCAATAAATGATCTGCGCTAAGGCCTTGGCGGTGGGGCCCAGAGAATGAGTCTCAGTGTGTACAGTACTGGTCAAGGCGATTTCGAGAATGACTGTACAATAAGGTCCAACAAATGACCAAGTAGGTCACTCACCTTTGACGACGTGAACGAATCTTCCCACAGTTCCGCTACTGTCGTAGCTTGTGAGATTTGAATAAAGCTAGTCTTTTCTAGCTTATCATGGATTAAGCTTTTTTGGAATAGACACAAGAGGGATCTGAATGGCAGTCGGGAATACTCTTCATCAGGACTTGTTTCGATGCTTATCTGCTTGGCGAGGAACGCTTAATCTATGCCCTCAAGTATGAACCTAACGAATGCTAACTGGCCTTTGATTTGGATCCTCTAGACCTTTACGAAAACTTAATCTCGAAGGCGAAGGCCTCACGTAAGTGAGCATTCGAAATGATATGCATACTGGTTTTTGATGATCTCAGCAGCCTCATCAACTTGACGTACAGATCTTCTTTTGACTAGCCAAGCGTCGGTAGTTTCGTATTGTGCAGGAATCCCATCAGGTTTTCCATTTCGCACCGTGCAAGATGAGGCAGGGCGGTAGGCGCTTGTTCCCCAGCTACCAGCAATTCAACGAGTGAACGTGACCCCTCATTATCCTTACCTGCTCGTCCTTCTCTCATTGGTCGATCTTGACTTACATTTGCTTTCGATTCTTAATCCGGCCATGGGGTCTGTTTGGTTATAGGCTTTGTTAAACCTCCTGCTATACATGTAATACAGGATGGATCGAAATTAGTTTCACCACTTTGCTCTCATAGAATCTTCCTCGAACCCTATTCCGACACACGCTAATCTAGTTCAGGATTAGCTCTGATTCAAACAACTGCTGAATCGTATTGAAAGAATCCCTCACGTGATAGAAAGCTCTTTAAATTACCTGTAATACTCTTTCAGAAACTAACGTATTCTGTAAGCGAGTCGCCATTGTAAGCGAGCCGCCACCCTGCCTCTACCTATTAATTTTAAATGCATTTATCTCAACCAAAACGCCATTAAATTCAATAAATTAAACACGAGGTCTATTAGGACACGTATTTCTCTTATGGCCTAGGTTTCCACATAACCCACACTTCGGTAAGGCCCTCGTACGCGGCTGTAAAAGTGCCGGAGGCGGTCTTGGTTGACGGGGTGTTGATGCTTCAATTACTGGTTCTTCCCCCTGAATAAGCTCGATAGCTTCTAAAACTGATAGGCCCTCTTCTAGAGGTATCTGCCTTGTAGACCGAGTCCGTTTTCGCTTCTTCGTCTCGTTCGCGGCCCGTAATTCGCTTACTTCTTTCTCGAGCAAAGCTGTCGATTGCATCGTAACTTGGTAGGCCTTTAAAACCTGATCTATCGCGGAGTTAAGCGAGCTCGGTGGGCTTTTTGAGTGCTGTTTTAGCAAAGCTTTAATTGACGAAGCTTATTTTTGTAATTGGACGTAGTTCGACGGCGTTTTTGGCTCCCACTCGCTTCCTCGGCTTGAGGGGGGTGTCGGGGTTCGAAGGCAAATATCGAGCTTCGAGATCACTTGATCGGGATTGTAAGGTATTAAACCGGCGGCGGCGAAGCTATTCTTAATAGTCTCCGATTTAGATGCCTCGATTCGCGCGGACGGGTAGACTTCGAGGAAGTCTAATTTATCGATATGGTTGATTCTAGCCCGCATTTTTGACTCGATAAGCCGACTATACGCGCGCTTTAATACCGCGAAATAGCTAATATTGAGAGGCTATAAAAGGTGAGACGAGTGCGGAGGTATATAAATTGCGATAATATTGTTCTCTTCGCAAATTTGATCGAACTCCGCCGTTAAATAACTTCCGTGGCCGTCGAGTATCAAAAGTCTATACTTCCCCTTCGTACGCGAAGAAGTAGACGGAATAAAGAGCTTTTTAAGCCACCGAAGACCAATTTCATTAGAAGTCTATCTATTCGGACTAAGCTCGAAGCGCTAATCCTCCGGGAGGCCGTCGAACTAAGATTCGATATAGACTTTACCCTTAAAGATCACGTACGGAGGAAGCGCCCACCCTAAAGCATTTATACACTCAATTGTAGTCACCTACGTACGATTTCTAGGTTGTAAAAGTGGTCGTCGGCCGTAGTATTCAGCCCTTGTCACGACTTTTGCGGTCGCGATTAAGCCTATTGCAAACCTAGTCTCGTCGAAGTTATAGATATCGTCGGGATCGATGCCGTATTAAAGTATCGTTTTTTGGACTAGATTAAACCATTCATGAATGATTTTTGGGTCTTCACACTTCGCGCGCTCGTAATTATACCGTCTCGAGAATCGGGATAAAAGGTTTGGATGCCTTTAGACAAAGTTATAAGCATATTTTTCGCCGACTAAAAGGACCGGGGTAGTTTTCCGGGCTGCGAGAAGGAGGTTCGTAGTTTCTCGTACGGTAGAAGGCCGGGGGGCTGCTCCACGATTAGGGCTTAGGAGAGAATCCAATTTTCAAGCGATTTCTCCTCAATTTCGGTCAATTTATGTGAATTTGCGCGTAGAGATGCCCGTTCCGTACGGCCAGAGAGGCGGTCGCGTAAAGTTGAACGCGGTACATCATAAGTGCGAGCAGCGAGAGCAGTAGTGCTTATTTCTTGATTCTTAATAGCCTAGATAGCTAATAAGATCCTACCCTCTTGCTCCGTACGATTTCGGGAGGATTGAGTACGAATTGGTGGCATGGTAGGTGGTTAAAGAAGGAGGGTCTAATTAATTGACGCGTTTTTGGGTAGGGTGGCGGCTCGCTTACAATGGCGACTCGCTTACAGAATACGTTACTAGCATCTCGCAAGCCCTGGGCTCACTCGTTACCGACCCTGTTGCTCTCGTTCTCTTGTCCGCGATGCTCACTGGAACGGACAAGTCAATACCCTTTAGTAGTGTCTAACAAGTCAATTTATGATAGAAAATATTATTTTGGCAATAAATATAGGGAACAGTAATTACTATAGAGTTATATTCGCGATCAGCTTTATGTTTAATCTCTCTCTTCATCACCCACAGCCCACTTCAATCGCACTAGGACATCTGTCTGATACCCTTGCATCTGTTAATGTACATTGAATGATTCGGCGTGAGTTACGATAATAACATTACTTGGCAACCTAGACCTGGCTCTTGTGGTCATGAACGAACGCAGTAGATCATATCTCATTTCGCTGCTCTAATTTATACATCGATTCCCGTATTTAAATCGTCATAAAGACGTAAAATAACTCCAGCCTCCCCAATCGGTTTCTCGAAGCCGGTAATGAAGCTCTCGAAAATCTCATTTGTCACAAAAAAAGCCGAGTCGCCATCTTTAACAGTCAACTGATTCCTCGCCCTGACCCGCCGCCGCAACTCATCAATACCGACATCAAGATATGCAAGCACCGATCGCCCCCCAAGCTCTTCGACTAGGTGCTTCCATTCCTCTCTAGATTTCTTAAATGCGAAAGAAAAATCTAGGATTACATCTTGAGAGCCCTGTCGAAGGATCCGCGCTAGTTCATTTCGGAGGGCGCTCTCTGCCTCCTCTTGATAGTTGTTGTATTGATCTTCTGGATAATCGATACTGTAGAGGCCGTGCTCAGTATATATGTAAGAGTCGATTGAAAGCCTTTTGAAAGAGGGGTGATTGAGTATCACCCATTTAGAAAGCGATGACTTTCCAGACCCTGTTAACAATGTCCCTATCAGTTATCCACACCAAAGCTGGCCGCTCAATTTTGCATTCTCTTACCTGCCATACCACAAGTCATCAGAACAACAGGTCGAGGATCACTGTCTGTCCGGCATAGAAAAGGGCTGAGCGATTCGGGCGTATCAAAGCTGAGCGAAGAATCTGCCATTTTCTGAGATTAAAAAAATCACATTTACACTCGCCTTTCACTTTCTCGATTACGGGAGCAGCAATACGTAATGTGGTGGTTATGTCTCCAGGGAGCTTGGGGGAGGAGGAGTGTTAGATATATATTCGGTGAGTCATCATGAGTCATCCGCAAATCAATGAGTAGCCTCGTTTGACTCAGATTTGCGACGTAAGGGTGTCACTTATGCAGGATAATGGAAAGCTCCACCATGACCATGCTTCCGGCGCCACAGTATTAGAACGTTGACAGATTGCGCCCCGGTGGCCATACAAGCTTAATACGGAAGCTAATTTTATGCTGTTATTTACGACTGTACTGGAATACTGCCAAGAAAGGGGTTCAGGGGCAGAGTAACCGGAATAGGGATAGCGTGTTTCGAAAGAGGGTTCGAGAAAGAATCTCTGTGAGGAAATGGTGAAACTGATCTCGATCCATCCTGTATCTGATAGTCTAAGAATCACTATGAAAGGATCACTATTCACAGCACTAACAAAGGCATTTTCTTCACAAAGTTCATCAAGATGCTGATGCCTATGGATCGAGGGCTGAGATGACGTCCTCAATAATTGTGAGAAATATTGTATAGGGGGCAGGCTTGGGAACGGGTACAAATTGAATGAATAAAGATGATTCGACAAACCTGAAGTGTGGACCAATCATAAAGTGTGTGTGTGAGAGAGAAAGAGAGTGTGTGAGAGAAAGGGAGAGGGGGGGAGAGAGAGCCAAAGAATTAAAAAAGCACTGTTTTAGCGCCTTCTCTACTGTCTAACTATTGTCCTCGTGATTTTTCTTAGAATCTCTCGCTCCGCTATGGGTCGAAGAAACAAATTACCTCTTATCTCCGATCGCCACAGAGTCTTCCTATAGCTTTCCTATTGGTCCTTAATGTCCTTAATATCCTCCGTTTTAACAACGTAGGTAAGTGAATTTTCTATATCGTTATCCACGATCTCTAATGGGACCCAATTATCGCATAATAGACCGTATTAGTTATCTATAAGTATACCTTCCTACGTATCGAAAAACCCTAAATAACGAATAAACCCCGGTCTATTGTGACTCTAATCTAATAAGTACTAAGATAAGAGAATTAGTTTGATAATTTACGGTGGTCTTAAGAATTGATTAACGCCTTGTATAAAGTGCCACTAATTCCCGAGTTCGGTTTTATCTAGTTCGAGATATAGCTCTTTGACTAGGTCACCTTTACCTTCAATCTAAGAGGGGACGCTATCAACATAGAAACCGTTCTATCCGAGAAAACCCTATATAAATTTAACTATCCCAATAATGTCTAACTTCTCTTTAAGCGGCCTCCCTAGATTATTGCTCTATACTTCAACGGCAGACTTAAGTACGCTATCGAAGTCCTCGGTATTTAGCCATACCTAACTTCTAAACTTCTAGAGACTTTTAATAGCAACCTAGTGTGCGGTTAATCTAGTAGTGGAATGCCGGCCCATAGCTAGCGGTTATATAAGCGATATCTAAGCCCCTATATCTCAGCGCTGATCACGATGATTATAGGCTAGACTTTCCGGATGTATTAAAGTCTATGGCACACGAGGGACAAGGATCCCCCTTAGTCGAATGCTTCTTCCATACTAACAACGATAACTAGTCGGGCTTTAAGTGGACGGATCTAGATCCTCTATTCTTCGCCATTTAAGCTAATAATCTTTTCCTTTACATATTAGCATTCCTTCTTTTTAAAGAGGTCTACTAGGTAGAGTTGCAGCTTATAAGATTTTATCACTTAACCGGCGAGACATTGGGTGAGCATCTATTCTTTCTACCCCGTGTTAAAACGGCCATAGGGAATCTACGCTAGGTGCGTGGACAGATCCTAGATATTATATCCCTAGCCACTATTATAGCGATACCACGCTCCTTCCGATTGTCTTTATAGCCGCGCATAGAACCTCTATCGTATTCTAGTCACTCTACTCTATCCCTACTAGCGACACTACCCACAACGCCATCCCTAGATCCGTCGTTCTTTATATAAAATCTTCTAGAAAACTATAAATAAATGCAACGCAATTCGTGTGACAGTACTTCTATTTCTATTTTTTGTCCGAACGACGTCCGTAAGTCGTTAGCAGTCACGTAATCGCAATGCTTTGTCTAACATTCTTAAAATAAAACAAAACTCGGTCAAAAGGTTAACACTATGTTTAAGTGCGGGCTTTATTTATTCTTTGATTGGGTTATTATATGACTATAAAGAACTACATAGCATACTTCCACTAGCAACCCCTCACTCAGCTTTTTCGATATCCACTAACATGGCTAGACTACTTTTCGAGTATTGATTCTAGCCATAGAGCACGACAGTTAGACATTCCCGAGACGATTCTAATGCCTACTTAAAGGAAAGCAGTCGTAATCGCTACTTATTAGTAGGAAGCTAAGGTCCATTCCTCTCTTTACTCGGGTTGATTCTAGCCTCCGAGAATTAAATCTTTTGGTCGATATATCGCCACGGATGTGGCTTGGCGTATATAATGTCTATAGACGTCGATAGAGCCCCACGGTTCGAGCCGCTTGAAATCCGAGTTTCGGATCATCGCGTTCGCGATTTGCTAGTATCGCCAAGATAGGTTGAAAGTGCTCGGTCGTCAGGGTTGCTTTCTGGTTGGTTTCTAGCTGCGGGAGGGAGAATGCCAGTAGTTAGCCATAAGATCCAATATGCAATTACACCTAACTTACCAGTCGTGGTTTGAGATCAGAAGTGTCCTTCGGATGGCTTTTATCACCTTGAATAGGCAGTCCCCTCCGCTCCTGATCTCCTTCACTGTTTTGGTCCGATACGTTCCTTAGAGTATCCATTTCGTGGTGGGCAAAGAATAAATTTCAGGGTAATTTAGTCTGTACCGGATGATAGCCTCTCTTATAGTCCACCTAGAGACACGTAGTCACCTTGTTAGTGTTACGATAGATGTACGGGTCTATCAACGCAGTCATTTATTTGAGTGTTGATGGCTATTTGTTAGTAACCCAACTAGTTTTTCAAGCATCGTTCAATCATGTCTCACAGCTTCGACGGCTGCATAAATTCAAGGCGCTATATTTCTCAATTTGAAAGCATTTGGCCGGCCAGGACCCGTGAGCAATAATTGATAAAGCCCTACCAGCGACTGGTAAAAGTCTGGGAATTTTGTATCAAGCCGGGCACTCATGACTGCTTGATTCCTAGTAGTGGGCGGCAAAATCCCGGATTGATATAGCCTCACAGGTGGTGTCTAGTCACTGTTACATCAACGGCCATCTCGTCTCACAAACAGACGCCTTTGTTGTTCATGTATTTTGTCAACAATACATCAGAGGCCACGTTGAAATATTGTCGGACGCAGCAAATAGCAGAACTTCGTTTTCGACAGGATTTGTTGAGGGAGGGTCAACTCAGCGACTGTGTTAGGCAAGCAGCGGTGATTCAGGCATTCTAGGTTTCTGTGGGAGACTTGCTGACTTTGTCTACCTCCTATCTCGTCCGCGTTATTTCAAGGGGCCACTCCTTCTTCTATACACATTAGGTTTCACATACTAGACTGATCGATTTTCACTCAGACATCGCTCTTGACAGTGGGGTATTACAGTGATTCTCGAAATCGGCTTGACCAATGCACATTGAGTAACTCTTTCCTAGCCCCACCGCCAAGGGCTTAACGCGCGTAGAGTATTCAGAAAGCCACATTAAAATGAGGGACAACAGCAAAATGCTTCAGTATGGTCCTGTATCTTGCCACATAAAATTACAATTGCTTGACTGTTGAACGATAAAACTCAATCACGACTATAATACATGGCGGCATAATACGGCGGCCCTCGATTTGATACGGCTTGTATCGTCTTCCGTGAGAAACCCTTTTTACTTCTTTGACTGGAGGTAGTAGAGGCTATTTCTGCTGGCCCTGTGATTTAAAGCCCCATCAACAAATATTGCACGATGGGCAGCCCTGACAAACCATGAAGGCCTGGTCAGGCACAGCCTCGGCTGATGTAACCCGGTGGGCTTGCTTCGGCTGTGGTCATAATTATTGACTCACTTTAATTCCTGTCCCTCCATACGATATTTAGTTGCTCTTATGTACTATATTTCTTCTCCTACCACTACAAAAGCCCAATTGACCAAGAATCTCAATTCTTAATTTACATGAAGAAAGGCAAGCACTCTGATGGAAGGTAGAAAGATTTCCTCTAAGGGATAGATCAATCTTGAGAGATGAAGCAGTTGGGCGTCAAATCATACGAGATGAAGATCCCTGGGTGTAAATTTCTTACATAGTCAAGACTGCCCTGAACTTCGGCTTACCCTGCACCATATGATTGAATGCCTTGACGGCTTCGTTCAAGGGAAAGCGTTCTACCATGCACTGAACGCCATGATGTTCGGCGAAAGCAATGGTCTCCTCGCAATCTAAGGCATTGCCACCTGGCCAACCATGCACACTAGCAGCTTTCATGACCAATGCGACCGAATCTACGGCAACTGGTCCAATTGGTGCGAGCAGCAGCAGCTTGCCACCGTAGGTCAGGCCCCAAACCAGTGGACTAATAGCCTGCGCGTTCGGGGCCGTAGACACAATCAAGCTTGCACCACCCATAGATTGCAGGATTTTCGCCGCGTCATCTTTACTGGTATCGATATAGGCGTATGCTCCTAGTTGTTCCGCAAACTGAGCCTTGTCGCTCCCGCTTGAGATGGCAACCACTTTGTAACCCATCTTGTGGGCAAATTGCACAGCCAAGTGGCCTAGACCACCGAGTCCTTGCACGGCGACTAGTGCACCTTGCTCTATGTGGAGCTTGCGAATGCCGTTGAAGACCGTCACGCCTGCGCAGAGATGGGGTGCGACAAGAGCCGGGTCCGCAGATGCGGGCACGCGAACGACGGCCTCCTCGCGCACAAGCACATATTCAGCGTATCCTCCATCTACCGTAACGCCTGTTGATACGCCATTTTCGCACGTCTGAGGGAAGCCGTTCAGGCAGGAGGCGCATGTGTAATCGTGGCCTGCTCACTGTTAGCTGCAAATTGTGGCTTGTTGATGGAAATTGCGCTCACCACCGTGCCAAGCTGCACCCACGCGCTCGCCGCCCTTGAAACGGGTGATTCTGCTGCCGACAGCGACGACATCGCCCACAACCTCGTGTCCAGGTACAATAGGGAACGGCGACCCCATATGACCATTTTGGATGTTGATGTCCGAATGACAAATGCCGCAAGCCAGAACTTTCACAAGCACTTGGTTCTCGGCTGGTTGTCGAAACTGTAGATTCTTAATCTCGAGGGCAGCGCCTTGGCCCTCGAAGACGGCTGCTTTGTAGGTTTCGGTTGGTGAAAGGGTAGCCATGATGTGGGGATCGTGCAGCTCCAAGCCCCTGATGACGGACGTGAATGATTTGACAAGCCGAAAAGTAGGGGCTTACGGTTTATATATTTGAACTTTCTACCAACGAAGCCTTGGATGAGTACTACCGGATTCATAGGCATTTCGGATGTAATGGCGTATCTCCTTAGAATGTGGCGCTTCGACCCAGTTCCCTACTTGACATCTCGTCGGATTTTATTCATGTGGCTTAATGGTATGTCAGCAGGCGGATTTAAGGCTTATCTCCATCACAAAACGAAGTTGCAAAGCCGCACTAAACCTTTGGATATCGAACAGACACCGCCCTGTCCCCTGCGGAGGAAGAGGTTGCGGAATGCGGAAGGTCGAAGTACACCTTGCAATTGTCTATTCATCATTCACTTGTCAGAAACCAAGGAACTAAGGTAAGATATACCCCGTGACCATACAGTTCGCATCATCGACTGCGGCAGCAAATGGAACTAGGGAAGGGAGATAGATGTTTGTATACCCAAAAGTAACCGCCCCCATTCGTTGATCTAGTAAAGCATTGCTTGCATATAGCTACGCGTGAAAAATCAATATCTAGGATAACCTTTGCTTATTTAGCTGATGCTAACTTCAAACAAGAGAATCACTTTTTGTCTATCCAGGAGTAATATTTGAATTTATTGTAACCCTGGCTTTTAAGGAAGCTTTTGAACGTTGCACATGCGGATCGCAGTGTCGAAACGTAGGAACACTGCTGGTTCTGCCACGTTGCACTGCTCTGCACTCTCGATTCATGAATAGGTAGTGGGCAAAAGAGGCAAGACTAATGGTGGCCTCGTTGAGCCGAGACATGCATATAAAGATATTCAGAGTGGCAATGAAGTAAAGTTCTTTTCCCATGTGTTGTCTTATTCGGTATCGGATTACACATATTGAACGGTTATGCATTTACCGTTCGATACTCACGTCCTAGAGAAAGTTGCGAACTTTCTTACACGTGCTCTGTTTCTAGTCAATGCTGATAGGATGCCTCTCCCTCAGGCTGGCCCCAAACCTGTAGATCAAGCCCGGTACTGGCGTCAGCCCTAAAGCGATGAATCCCAGCAAAGAATTGCCCCAGCCAAGACCTAATGTTGAATACATGCTAGGTCCTGCCAATGGGAGGAATGCACCGAACAAACATCTTGTGGCGGTCAATGCCGCGACAGCGGAAGCGGCATACGGGCCGGAGACATCAATGAAATATGTCTGAATTGGTGCAAAAATTCCCATCATGCCAAAACCGAACGGCACCAAACCAAGGATCGGAACGATCCAATGCACCTGTTTATCTGCCGACCATCCATACCAGAAAAAGCTGACAGGGACAAATAGCGCGAATGTAAGGCAACTTGCAAGGCGCATTTCAGGCTTGTAAACTCCATGGTTTGCTTGAGTCAGGCGAACAACCGTTGTGTCTGAAGTTTTGGCCACGACGGAAATGCCAACGACAAACCCAGCACCAATACCCAGATAGGCGAGACCAGCTAGATCCACAGGCCAGCCGTAAGTGCTCGTGAAAACAGAAGTGATTGTCGTGAAGAGAAGATATAAGAGGCCAAACACAAAGGACATATATAGAGCAAGAAGAGCCAAAATGGGCGACGTGAAGATAATCCGAACCGGCCTGGTAATGCCTTGAATCAAACGAGCGGATGTGCCAGCAATGGTACTGTCTGTTTCGTATGCGCTGCGAAGATCTTCACGCCCAAGCTCTTTGCGAAGCCGGTTGATTTTCCATCCAATCAGCACAGTGGGATTGGTCTCCTGACCAAAGATCATGTTGAGACAAGTCAAGACTCCACAGGCTATTAGTAAAACCCAGTAAACCCATCTCCAGCCTGCACGCTGCGCAATAAAGCCTCCAATTATAGGGCCTAACACAGGGCCGAAAAGAGGGCCGATGGTAAACATCGCGTTGGCCTTCCCTCTTTGATGGAGAGGGAATAGGTCTGAAATTATTCCACCACCGATCGACAAGCATGCAGAACCACCGACTCCGCCGAGGAATCGAAAAACAATCAGGCTCGCCATATTCGGAGACAAGGCGCAGCCAATCTGCCATAATGTGAGGAAAGTATTTGAACAATTTAGCACGAGTTGACGTCCATAAATCTCACTTAAAGGAGATAGAATAAGTGGGCCGACCTTATATCTCAGTGAGCGCGTTTCTAACGCCAATTGGCAATGAGTAAAGAATGATATACTTACTGCAAAACCAAGAACGAATATACTCACAGCAAACGAGCTGAGAATCTTGGAAGATACATGGAAATCACGATCCATTAATTCTACCCCGGGCGCAGATATCGAAGAGGCTAATGGACTTGGCCACGAAATTAGCTTTGCCGTACGGCTGTTCGTAAGCAACAACCGTACCTGAGAAATGCGTTCAGGCTAACGAGACCCAAAAGGCACAACTTGTGGCGGTATGAAAAATTCCTGTACTGAAAATTAGTATTCGTATACGTAATGATGGTCAGAAAAGCTTGTACAGAGGATTCAAGGGATCATCCTGATTTTCCCAACCAACAAGCCCTTTTTCACAGTCAGATGCCATGGATTGCTCTGGACCAGCATCGACACTTTCTTCATTGCTCGCGATTGACTCGGGATCACTGTCCATGACTCAAGACCTTGATTGGCCAAATTATATTGCGAAGCCCTTGAGCAATCAAAGATGCCGACGGACAGGGAAGAAAAGTGATCCAAGGAAAAGAGCGATATATTTGAAGATATTAAAAAAATAAAAAGAAGATTTAAAAAATTCATTCCTCCCTGTGTTTAAAAGTAATCGCTCTGCAAAGAAAAAGCTCCCTCTCGCCAATCGTCTGGACCATGTTGGGGAGGAAGAGTATTCTACAAAATGGAGATAGCCGGAGCTAAGAGATAACGAGAGCACACTTTCAAAACGAACAGTGGAAAGAAAGTTCGGAATTAGCCGGCCCTTGCATATAAAGAACACAGACCCACAGCGCCTCACCCATACAAACCAAGCACCCAAACAATATGACATTAGTATCGTTTACTAGACGCCGCTTCAAGCGGTATATGCATTGTTATTAAAATGCTCTACACTTTAAGCATATAAAATCAATATATACTTCGATAAATATTTGTGGAAGCTTGCAATCGCCATATAGTTTACTCTCATTTCCGCGACCTAATAATAGGGTTCAGATCATGGCATCGCTGACAATTATTCCGTTCCATTTATGTTACTTTTAAGTCCGCTAAGCCCGCTTGAATAAGCTTGCTGACTGGTCCCGCCCAGCGGTATTACGAATCGAATACTGTAACTGCCGACCCACTTAAATTCCAACACCTGTTTTTCCTTCGCCAAAGGGTAACTTGGCGTCACAATTTCTGCGAGAGTGGCAATCCAGATTTAAATCGAATGAACTAGATGTGGCGGACTTGTAGCAGCGTAGGTGGCACCACCTTGCTGGTCAACCACGGAAACCCAGCCTTTCGGCTTTCAGCGGCCATAAGAATGATCAATTATTCGAGCAAGACAGCCTGGGCCTATTTAAAAGCTTGGGATAATAAATTTTTTCCATTAATTTTCGACTTGACCTGATATATTCGCTTCCGCATAAGTGCCTGATTCTTTTTCGTTTCTCCTGAATATAATCACTTAGTCATGGCTACCCATCAGTTCAAAGTTTACAAGGGAACTCCATCGGGTGACATTGTCGAGGCTGTGACGGAAAGATCAGCTCTTACCGATGATCAGGTCCTGATCGACGTCACCCATTCTGGCGTCTGTGGAACAGATGAGCAATACGTTCAGTGCGGATCGCTCTCGGCCATGAAGGAGTGGGCGTGGTCAAAGAAATTGGACCGAACGTGAAGGCTCTTAGAGTGTAAGTCTACTTATCAGCCGGACTTTCCTTCCAACGTGCAGTATTGACAAACATTCAGCGGCGACCGCGTAGGCTGGGGCTATCCATCTAGTGACTGCGGAACTTGTGACTCATGCATTAGTGGGTTCCCCATCTACCGTGAGAACGATCCGCCCAAAATGTATGGCTTCGACGGCATAGATTCTGGAAGCTTTGCAAGAGGCACGATCAGATCCGAAGCCTTTGTATTCCCGATCCTAGATAGACTTCCGTCTAATGCGGCAGCTCTACTCATGTGTGGTGGCATCACTATCTGGGCCGCTTTGACACTCCACAGGATGGTCAAGCCAAATGACATGGTAGGTGTCATCGGTATTGGTGGACTGTGGCATCTTGCTATTCAGTTTGCCAAGGCTATAGGCTGTGAAGTTGTTGTCTTCAGTACGACATAATCAAAGAGAGAGCAAGCAATCCAATTAGGAGCCTCGCACTTTGTCACGGCAAAGGGCAAGCCTGAGTGGAACGTCCTGCGGAAGATCGACCATCTGTTGATCACTACGTCCCAAAATGACGACTGGAAGCTGTTCATGCCCTTCATGGCTAAGGGCGGCTCGAACTTCCCTATGGCACCGTTGGATTCTGAGGCCACACTCGACATCCCTACCTGGACATTTTGATGAAATGTCTTCACATAATCGGCTCTTTGCCAAATCTGACCTCGCACAGGTCTATGCTAGGGTTTGCGGCGAGACATGGCATTAGTCCAATCATCGATCGGGACGAAATGTCGGTTGCAGGGATCACGAAGAGTCTTAACAAGTTGAAGACTAGAAAGACTCGCTACGGCAGAGTACTTTATCGGATTAATCAAGATTAGAGGCTTTTTGGCTCACATTCGTAGGTGGTGGGTGTAAAGTTGGAACTTGCCAATGTACAAAATGATCTTGTTGACAGCATGGTTCGTTGTATACCGACCGCCATGCAGCTTGCTTGGGGTGGGCGCAAGAATGGTGCAAGGTTACTATACTCCTTATGACTATTTCAATTCCGAGAAAGACTGCTCAGTAATCTTTGACATGAGGGAAGGCTAGTCACCAAGAATATAATATAACTAGGAAACGTTTAGTAGGTCTAAGGTTTACGAACATTCTGAGATTCAACCCATCAAATTCAGTTACTATTCATTAATGATGTCATTTTCGGATATTTTGGAGGGACAATATTAGGTTTTCAGTTTAGTGTCGTTCATAATCGTTGGCTTAAAATGCATTCTCGCCCTGAGTGCGGACTAAGTCCATTGGATGTGGATGTATATATAATTTACTCTCGATCGCAACAAACGACCACAATATCGCTTCGTAATCCTGCAGTATGTAACAGCGTGCTAGAGTTGACCCACGGTTCCTGATTACAAATCTCTGCATTTGGTCCTTGTCCCAATACATCTCCTTACAACTATTCCACCAATCTGAAATTTATCGATTTTGTCTTGTCCGGAAAGCTTCTCGCTACTCTTCTGCCTCCTAAAGTACCATTACATGCACCACCGCTTAGGCGATGGCGCATCGCAAGTCAACAAATCCAGAAATACCACTTCTGAAAGACGCTCGCAAAAGAGTAGCCAAGGCTTGCGATCGATGCAGAATGAAGAAAACAAAGGTATTGTGGAGAAAGCAACAATTCCTCTTTCCCGTTTTTCTTCATGAAGCCGATCTAATTCGAGCCAGTGCGACGGGAATCTACCCTGTGGTAGATGTCAAGCCGACAATACTATCTGTATGTTTTCTAGACGAAGATACCCACCCAGCAAAGTATATCCCGAAGGGTAAGAGGCCTTCTTCTTCCGATTCGCGAAGGAAAGCTTACCCAATAGGTACGCCGAGGCGCTGGAGCAACAGCAGAAATGGCTCGTTTGCGGTCTTCAAGAACTTTATCGACGGATATGGGCAAGAGAGGGCTGTTCCGGAGACACTCTAGGATACGAATTCAATGAAAAACCTCTCACGCACGATTTACTCGTACGACTAGGTGCTATGGACCAAGATTACAACAACCGTTTTGATGAAGACTTAGAGGCAATGCGACAACGCTTTTGGGGGCACAGCAAAAAGCTCACGCCAGGATCGGACGTCTGTAAAGACAGCTCAGATACCGTCATCCCAGACCAGAACCGTTTACTAATCTCTCGAAGCTATGGCTACACTCGATCAACACAATCCCAGGAGTTTAAGGCCGGGGCCGACCAGACATCATTGCCAGTACATAATGCCAGCAGTTCGGACTACTCCCAAGCTCATCTTCCATCTGGCCTGTTCGCCGAGATGGAAATCATTGAAACCCTAAGTTACAGCGGTCCAGTGCGTAACGAAAACCAGGGGGCCATATTGGACCGTTCTTCTGAGATCGACTGTGTGCCATTCATACAGCTTACAGACCCCAGGAGTGACTGCAACGAATGTAGCCCACTCCTCACCTTGGACACGAACTTCTCAACATGGGCAGAGTCGTCGTGGGGGTCTTCGCTCTACTCCTCGCAGCCATTCTTCGATCCTATATTTGAGGAGCAGCTAGAGTAATATATTTCTTGTTTTTACATCATAGCCCTCTTGAAGTGTAACAGCATTTTCAATCGTAACTAAGAATGCAATTTTTCTTGGATATGAACCTCTATTCTCTGGTTGCTTGTCCGCTAAAATTTCCAGCTCGCTACACTGGTCGGATAGGTCAAACCGTGGAAATTCTCCACCCCGGTACTCAGAACATAATTTTACCAAATGCAAATGCCCCACTAAGGTGGTGGTGAGATTGGCTCGCGCCGAGTCGGTTTGTGCTGACAAGCGTTTATCTCTCGGTGATAAGTTGTTAATTCCGTCTAGCGATCAAAAATTCCCCGTTGGCTTTGACTTTGACGGTTTCTCTGATGATGTGTCAGGACTGCGTACGCTGCAAAATAGCCTTGTGGCGTATTATGCTATGCCAAGACATTATCAATCCCGAGGGTGTGGCCTGTAAGAGAAGTTTTTTGCGAGCACAATCATGCGATGGAGCTGGGTAGCGGCTCGCTTGGGTCACTTAGCTTCTCCTTCACATCAATAAGCAATCAAACCCGGGCGTCCCCCTTTACAAATCTCGGGGAGCGCATTTAGATCTTTTTTAACATGCAGTCGTAAAGTGTCATGATTGATCAATGATGGACATCCATTCGAAAAGAAGTCGAATCTCCCGGCTCCCGGCTTCTTGTACCGAGTGTCAGCGGCGGAAACAAAAGGCAAGTTTTCCGCAGCACCTATTTGATAGGCTACTTATAATTACAAACAGTGTGACCATAAGTGCCGTGCAGCCATTGTCACGCGAGGAATGTGGCCCATCGATGTCGGTATCTGCAGAAAACTAGCAGTTATCCTACCGCCGTGGGACATCTCAGGTTGGCGACGGCTTTCCCACTTCTCTCTCGCCGTCCATGCTCATCAGTCTCAAGGGCGATAGAGAAAAATAACACCGGAGCCGTCGGATGCCCACTCAGCGGAGAAGAAGTGTATCCGGATCACGCTATGAGCCACATTCCCAGCCTAAACGAGTTTAGGACAATCGGATATATGTATGGCAGCGGTAGCTTTCGGGTCGGAATGGTCAAGGTTTGAATTATCCATCGAGCAAGAGGCGGAGAGATCATGCTGAATACCTTTTAGCCCTCCGAGACTTATGAGGACGGCTCTTGTTACTCAGTCTCCCCGTCCGACATGGAAAGCGCTCTGCAAGTCTTTCCTCCTCGACCATATATGGGTGAGCCAAGCGAAGAAGGAACAAAATGTACTAGATGACTGACGCTGATGTAGATGCCTTGATACAGAACTTTCTAAGCGGGCCAAACTACCAATACTATGTGATAAATCCTTCCTTCTTCTCCGAGCGCTACAAAGAGTGGTGGGAGGACAGAGCCCGCGGGGAAAGGCCTGGCGCCGTACTCACATGCTTGTTGATGCATATCTGCGCATGCTCAACCCAGTTTCCCGATGTTGATTTGCGCCGGACGCTCAAGGCTGAACTGGGTGAAAATATTGTAAACCTCTCAAAGCGCTATCACCTAGCGGCGAGATCGCTAAGCAGCTTAATAAGTCCTGGAAAGGGTGGCTTGATGCATGTTCAGCAACTAATACTTACAGCCTCATGGCTGAAGACTGATGCTCAATCCATTGAGTCTTGACATGTACTGGCTACTTCAATCCATGAGCCTCAAGAAATTGGCCTGCACGACAAGCATTTGCCCCAGCCTGTGGATGGGTTTGCAAAAGAAATGAGGAGGCGGGTCTGGTGTGTGCTATATGTGTGGGATTGGTAAGCTACTCAGGTTACGCTTCTTCCATTGTCCCTCTCTCAGTAAACGCCAGATGGATCTAATACGCAAGGATTGCAGGCTTATGTCATCTATGCTTTCCCGGCCACTCATCATCCACAACAGCTGCTGCTCTGCTGAGCTCCCAAGTCTGCACTTCGATGAAACCATCTCTGATCAGAAGTGGCCGTCGCCTTTCAGTCATATGGTTCTTCTGTATCAACTATTCCAAACATTGTCAAAGAAGCTCAGATCCTATCCCACGGGGGTAGCTGCAGTCTACTAGACTGCAGGTTAGGGCTTTCCCTTCACTATGGGACATAAAAAGTGGGGCCCGTTAGACTGCAGGTTTATTTCCTCGTTAGACTGCAGAGGTCTAGACGCCTCCGATTACTCTCAAATTTTGGTCAGTTATAATAGACTATCTGAAATATCTCCGATTCACTTCGGAGCATGCGTAGCCTACTAGTTACTGAGAAATTGGCGATTGAAAATCGGAGATGTTTTGTTAGGGTATAGGATTTTGTACCTTTTTTGGTGGTTATAGTAGTAAAGGTTCGACGCAGACTCTATCCCACGGGGGGTGGCCCAGTCTATTAGACTGGGAATTAGGGTTGCCGCTTCACTATGGGACATAAAAAGTGGGTCCCGTTAGACTGGGAATTAATTCCTCGTTAGACTGGAGAAGTCTAATGACCTCCGATCGTTCTTAAATTTTGGTCAGTTATAATAGACCATCTAATTTATCTCCGATTCACTTCGGAGTATACGTAGCCTCCTAATTATTGAGAAAATAGCGATTAAAAATTAGAGATGTTTTGTTGGGGTACGGGATTTTGTACCTTTACGGCGTACGTTTACTACTAAAGACGCTACCACAGGACTGTAGACGAATCCAATTACTTCGATAATGCTAGTGTATAATAATCGGGAGGGGTAGCAATTAATTCAGGGGTTAAGACGCTGCCTAGCTATTATCTCACGTTTTTTTACACTATTTCACCCCAAAGTCAGCATTAGACATTCGTCAAATTTCATGCAATTCGTTATATCACGATATATATATCGTAGTAGTCAACTATAGCAGCCCAATTTTTTCACCAACCTTTAACAGACCCAGTCTTCGTGTATAAGACCTACGAGCACGTTATTAGACCGAGAGAGGTCTTACGATACCTATAATCGGCGAATTATCGACTTCCACTACGTACGGCACGTCAAATTGCGGATATTATTCAAACCTCTGACCAGGCGCATAAATGCGACGTATAGCAGCCACCAACCGTGGTCAATACCCTATCCCACGGGGGGTGGTGCAGTCAGGGCTGACTACAGGTTAGGGCTTTGTCTTAACTATATTACCTAAAAGTACGGCCTACCCTAACTATAGGTTCTTTTCCCACCCTAACTACAGAGGTCTAGTTAGTTCCGATCGATCTAAGACTTTTATAGGTCATAGATATATAGGTGAGGTATCTCCTATTTGCTTCGGAGCTTACACAGCCTTTTAGTTATCGAGCTATACGCGTTTAAAGTATTTTGGTCTTATACCTCCTTGTACCTTTTTGGGTGGTTGTAGTACTATAGGTTCGACGTTTACTCCGCGACCACGGGCTACGTACTAGTCCAATTAGTCTATAAATTAGACACGGTCTATTTAACCATTAGATCTACGATGTGTGAAAGTTTAACTAAGATTAGACGAATAATGGTAGTATAGTAGATAATCAAAAATTGGTAAAAAGTTTTAATGGGGTCACCCGGTCGTAGTACCAAAGATCCGACGTAGACTCTATGACCACAGCCTATATCTTGCTCCGATCAGTCTATAAATTAGACACGGTCTATTTAACTACTAGATCTAGTAATCGTGAAAGTTTGAGCACGATCAGACTAATAATAGTGGTGTGGCGGATGATCAAAAATAGGTGAAAAGTTTGTATAGGTTGCGACCGACGGGATTTATTACCGTAATCGGATACCCACCTTTATCTATAGCGGCCCGTACTAAATAGATTACCCTATATTCGTATCTTACACCCCGTATTTTACTATCGGCGGCCATGTGAACGGCGGCCACGTGACTACAAGGGTTTATCTAGTACGTCGGGCACCTTAACTAGCTAGTCCCGTACACTACGAATTTGGTAAGGGGTTCATTAGATAGAGAAAAGTCAGCTAATTTCAAATATCCTATTTATAAACTAGTAGGTCTATTAGTAAGCGAGTTATTAGCGGTTAAACGTTAGATTTGTAGTAAAAGTGTAACGGAGTCCTTAGGAAGCATACACAGATCTCTCGCACTGCCAGAGGATCAACATCATATAGGTGCCGACACGTCAGCGTTTCCTCACCGTAACGCTAATCCCCCATATTAAATAGTGCACTCTAGGAGAACCTAGAGGTTCTCCAAGAATTAGTCTCTATATTCCTCCAATATACTACTTGCTTCCCAGGCATCTTCGTCTTACCTAGTTAACAGGCTCTATCCTACAAATACTAGACCCCTATCCCACGGGGGGTGCTGCAGTCTACTAGACTGCAGGTTAGGGCTTTGTCTTAACTATGTTACATAAAAGTACGACCTCGTTAGACTGCAGGTTCTTTTCCTCGTTAGACTGCAGAGGTCTAGAGGCCTCCGATTGATCTAAGACTTTCACAGCTTATAGAGATATACGTGACTTAGGGTTAGGGTTAGGGTTAGGGTTAGGGTTAGGGTTAGGGTTAGGGTTAGGGTTAGGGTTAGGGTTAGGGTTAGGGTTAGGGTTAGGGT